GCAACGAGTATGTCATGGTAGGGTACGACAGTGCATCGAAAGCATATCGCCTCTTTGATACAAAAACGCGAAAAGTAATTGTTAAACGYGATGTAAAATTCGACGAAACAATTTTGATGGGAGAAAATAAGGGTGAACATTTTTCGCCAGTGGAGGTAGCACAGTTTACATTGTAAGTAGCTGATCCGATTCAATATGTAGCAGAACAAGAAGAGCAGTCCGATTATGAAGACGCTGTAGAGAGTAGCAGTTCAATCGATGATGAAATGCGCGATTGTCCTGAACATCAGCAGATGCGGCGTGGTAGGCCACGGTTAATTAGRACTGGTTTACCTGGCAGACCAAGAAAACAACAAAGTGCAGTAAACTTAGCATATACTGAAAATGTTAAAGTACCAGTATCAGTTGAAGAAGCAGTGAACAGCAAGCAGGCGCATGAATGGTGGTGCGCTATGCAGGAGGAGTACAACGCTTTAGTTARCAACGATACATGGGAGCAAGCAGCGGTACCGAAGGGCCATAAAGTTATTGGCYGCAAGTGGGTATTTGCGGTAAAAACAAACGCAAATGGTAACATCGAGTGGTACAAGGCGAGGCTAGTAGCAAAAGGTTGCGGGCAAACGTATGGCGTTAACTACAACGAGATTTTCTCACCTGTTGTGAGATATGCAACTATAAGAATGGTGTTGGCTATAGCGGCCGAATACGAGTTACATGTTCATCAGCTTCACGTGGCTACGGCTTATTTGAATGGCAAACTAGRAGATGACATTTATATGAGACAGCCAGAGATGTTTCAGCAAGACAACGAAGCTAAGAAAAGCTAAAAAAAAAAATCATTGTACGGCCTTAAGCAGTCAGGCAGAGTTTGGAACTCAAGGCTTGATGAAGTTTTAAAAGAAATGGGGTTTTCCGCATGTAACAGCGAGCCGTCCTTGTATACTAAAAATCAAGGGCGCAAATTAAATATAATTGCAGTATACGTTGACGATCTGATGATTGCTTGTTCAGATCTTGGTGAGTTGATGCAGATAAAACAACAAATTTCTAGTATTTTTCAGATTGTTGACAAGGGTCGCATTAACAAATTCTTGGGTATGGAGATCGAGCGAGTTGGTTCAGTTGGGGCGATATCAATTTGCCAAAAACAACAAGTGCAACAACTATTGCATAAATATGACATGGATGTGTGTCGTCCAGTATRTACACCACTTGAACCAAGCTTTCAAGTCAATTGTAATGAAAGCAACTGTCGAAAGGTCAACGCAGCTGAGTATCAGAGTCTAATAGGTTCACTAATGTTTATCGCGGTGAACACAAGATCCGACATATTGCACTCGGTGTGCAAATTAGCGCAGCGAAATTCCGATCCACATTGTGAACATGTTGCAGCGACAAAGCATGTTTTGCGATACCTGAAAGCGACTATAAATTTGAAGCTGCACTACAGAAAAACTGGCGAGTGGATGAAGGGTTATGTAGATGCCGATTGGGGTAGTGACGCAACAGACCGCAAGTCATATACAGGCTATGCATTTTTCTTTGGTGGCAGCGTTTTTAGTTGGGAGTCTAGAAAGCAACCAACAGTGGCTTTGAGCAGCACGGAAGCCGAGTATATGGCGCTCTCGGCAGCAGCGAAAGAATCTGTTTATTTAAATAAGTTGTGGACAGAAATGAAAATGTACGATAAGGGTGGTTCRATCGTGATCAACGGTGACAATATGAGCGCGATGAGCTTAGTAAAAAATCCTGTTTATCATGCTCGTA